AATTCCATGCTGCATGGTCAAAGTTAGCTAAAATTAAATGGATTTATTTATAAAATTTTCCAAAACTGAGTTGAATAATACACTAATACAAAACCACAGTTTAATTTTCTCTCTGTTAAAAGGACAAAGTTTCTTAGATTGTTAGTCTGCTCTTAATAAGAGATTATGAAAGGTTTTTCTTTACCTTCTGTGTATTTTGTCTAGGAAACAAAGATTCAATGTCTTAATGAAAATAATTTCCTGTGTTTCACTTTGTCTTTATCAGGTTTTCGATTGGTTAGGAAAACAATCTTTTCAATATTAAAAGAGCTAAGGTTTTTTTTTTTTTAAGATTTTATTTATTTGACAGAGAGAGACACAGCGAGAGAGGGGTGAGTGGGAGAGGGATAAGCAGGCTTCCTGCGGAGCAGGGAGCCCAATGCAGCGCTTGATCCCAGAACCCCAGGATCATGACCTGAGCCTAAGGCAGACGCTTAACGACTGAGCCATCCAGGTGCTCCAGAGCTAAGGTATTTTTAACAACTATGTACTTTCTGTATTTGCTTTTGAAATCTTTTTGTTGCTTTGGTTGAATAGATAACTAAGTATTATTTCACAATGACCTGTGATCCTATTTAATTAAGTGGTGTTTTGTTTTGTTTTGTTTTGTTTTGTTTTGAGAGAGAGGAGGAGGGGGAGAGTGAGAGAGAGAATCTTAAGCAGGCTCCATGGCCAGGACAGAGCTGGATATGGGGCTCGATCGCTCAACTCTGAGATCATGACCTGATCCGAAATCAAAGAGTAGGAGGCTTAACTGACTGTGCCCCTCAGGCGCCCCTAATCAAGTGACTGAAACCTTTTGACATTTTTTACAAACTTCCCAAAATCAAATTTTAAATGAAGTCTTTTTGACTTCGAACTAACTTTGGGATATTCCCAAGGCTCCCTGGAAGATCTCAGTTTTTTTTCTCTCCTTATAAAAACGGAGACATTGAACTATAAATTTCTCAAATGTTAAATTGCATGGGAAACATTATCAAGTAAAGGGGAAGCTTAATCTTCTTAGATTGTATTTGTATGGATATATGTTATTAATATAAGTGTTCCAGAAATTGCATAGAACTTCTAGGAATCTGATATGCCCTGATAAAATGTTATCAGTTATTTTTAAATGTTGTATTCCACAGGAATAGACAAACTTACCTGTGAATCACATCATTTTTTTTTTACAGTGAACTCTTTAACCAAGGCTATTTTTAAGTCTTTTGTCATTCACAGACAGTTATTGTTTTACACTTAATTCTTCTATGAAAACATTTATAATCAACTACAGGCCAGAATGCTTTGTTTTCAAGGAGATTCATGGAAAAGACACTGACATATACTCTAGAATAGAAGTTCCTGATAATTTTAAGATCGTACGACTTAACTAGGTAAGAATTTCTAGCATGCTATGGAGAAACTGATTGATCCATAAAACTGCTAACCCAAGAGCAAGAAAACAAGAATTGATTACACGGGACTAAACTAATGGAGATGATTATAATTTTTATGACATTGTTTGCAACATTTTTGGTTCTTTACTGTTTTACTCTCCAAATTTAAAGAACCCTTTTTCTCCTATCAAGCCACTATATAACTTAAAACAATTTGGTAAACTTTTGTAAACAAAAATTAAACATTTATCTTTTTCTCCCTACCTGATCCCTTCAGAATTAAAAACAAAACAACAACAAAAAACCCTTATTGGGTGTACTTATTTTCATGGCAGTATAGGTATTTGCATAAATTTAACAAGAATTTATTTTCTTTGTAACAGGACACAATTGGACAAGCCCTTGGCTTGGCTTCTTGGCCTGAAGAGGTGTTTAAACAACTAATCTGAGATTTCTAATTACCAGATAGTTTTTAAGAAGCTAAGGTTTGATTTGTGGAGCCAATAAAACCCTTTGAGTTACCAAAGCTTGGACTGGAATATCATATTTGAAAATGTGCATAAAATCACTATTCTGCTGCACTTATATAAATAACAAGCTGAATTTAATGAGACTAAACTTATTTTACAATTTTATTGTGATTATCTTTGGTAAAAACGAAGTGACTATAAGAGAGAAAAGTTATGTTTCAATAGAAAACTATAGTATACCTATTATCAGATTCTAGTCCTGTTCATTATCTTTGAGGTTTTGTTATCTATCTGTAAACTGAACTGGTCCTGAATTCTTCCAGTTTCCTCCAACACCTGGCTACAGCTTTCCAAACTAACATTTCCAATTTTCTCTCACCATTCTGACTTAGATTAAAAACTAAAATTGCCCTTTAACCCAAGCCCTACAACCTAAAGCCAGACAACTTGATATAAACCTCAGAGATACCACCACAACAGATCATGCACAGACAACCTTAGTGCTTATTTCTATACAGGCCACTCAGAGAGTTCACCAGAACACCCAATGACATCATCGAAGTCATTCAAACGGCAAATCAGGAAAATCCAACAGATTGAAACTGCCATCCTCACTCCACTATTTAAAGATGTTTTGTGCTCAAATCTAGAAATTTTCTTGACTGGCTGCTCTTCAGACTCAGAAACTGAGTTTGTAATTCGCTCCAACAATTAATTTTTATCCTTCTTTTGTTTCCATAGAAATGCCTGTTTGCTCACACCGTATAGAGGCCCAACTTAGATGGAAGCTCTCCTATAACACTCCTGAAATAAGACATCCTCATGTTTATCCTAAGTAATCATAACATGATACAATAGTGTGAGGCATTAATACAATATTAAAAAACTTACTTTCCACCAGGTCTAAGAAGCATTCTGTGATCCATTCCAAAAAAAGACAATAGAACTTAGAGACTTAGTTTATTGGAAAAGATACCAAAAGACTGCTTTTAAATCTCCTCAGAGAGATCTCTTCTGCAAAATCCCTACAATTACAGCAAAAATCTATAAACTCTCTAGCCAGAGTTATATTAGACAATTGCACAGCCTTAGACACCCTAAACACTTAATAAGGAGAAGCATATGCTCTAACTGGTTAAAAAAATTTTTTTCCATGTTAATAAATTAGGAATAATTACCCCCAATTCAAAAGATCTTAAAGATCAGATGTCACTCTTTCATCAAATAGCTGATACTTCTTTCACTGATTTATTTGGTTGGTTAAATCTTGGCTCCTGGGAATCTCTGCTTCCAGGAATTTTTCAATCCTTGTCTGTTACTTCCCTCATAGTCATCATATTAACCTTGCTAGTTATAGGAGTGCCAACAACACTGACTCCGTCTTTGGCCCTCCATTTTGTTTATGCTCATGCAATGACCTCCCTCAGGGCTACATGTTCCAGGCCACTTGGACGTTAATGTATGCCCTGACCAGAATGCAGGAAGGCTTACTCTGATCTTCCCTCAAGTGGCGTACAGAAGGCACACTTCAGATAACTAGGAGAGATGACTGGTGCACAAAAAGCGCCACTTTAGATAACCAGGAGAGATGACTGGTGCACAGATGGCGCCACTTTAGATAACCCCCCCTTGACCGCACCACAATGCCCCTTGCTCTATAAAAGCTGTAGCTTAAGGTTTGGACTGGGTGGAGAATAGCTGCATAGCACCTGGATCATTTATCCACTGGCTCCCCCTTGTCAGTAGGTTACACTGAATAAAGTCTGTGTAAACACTATGGAGTGGCTTGCTCCATTTTTGGCTTTCCAAGTGCCTACTCAGTCTGCAGGATATTTTACTGTACCTCCCCCACCTTCTAACACTAGTGCACTGTATCCTCTCAAGAGTTTTAAATGCCTTTCAGCAGCCACTCACACACCAAATGATATCCATCAGGATTACACAACTCAAAGAACTCAATAATCCTACTGCCCATGCCTACAATGACTATGCAACTGTTTGTAATGGCAACCACATGACCATACAACCCAAAGACTACATCAACAGTGGTAGCGAGAGTAATAGCATATTGGCTCACACTTTCAGCTTGCTTGCTGAGGGAATGACCAAAAGGGGGTTAATTTTTTAGATAAAATAAAATGGAGACCACGCTTGAAAATCCCCTAAGCAGACCAAACCAGTTAGATCATATAAGTAAACATAATCTGGTTTATTTCATGAACGTAAGTGAAATTTAACAAGTTATTTCTTGTAAATCCCTCTGATAACCATAAACAAAACTTAAATCATCTCCCTAAAATAGTGTAAGATAATTACTTTAAACCAATTCCTCGCAGTTCTTTAAATTGTGGTACCAATCACTGTAATAACCAATCACTGTAAAGGTTAAACAAACCTAGTTATTCACAGTTTATAAGCCATCTTGCAAAGACATGCCTCTGAGATTCTCGTTTCTCCCTCACTAAAATATTTATTATCAAATAAAGCTCCTTGAAATTTCTTTTGACACTAGGCATCCTTCTAAGGACTTTACATACGTTAAATTTATTCCTCACTATAACTCTATGAGATAGGTACTGTTGTTAAACTAATTTGATAGATCAAGAACTCAGGCACAGAGGTTAAGTTACTCTCCATGGTCACACAGCTGGTGAATGGGACTGGGAGCGGAACCCTGTAATCGCAATCAAGCAATCAAGGAGCCGTGCTGCCTCGAAGAATCAGTATCTATCCCAGTATCTATCCACCAGGAACTGGTGGAACTTTGCTGAAGGCTTCTGAGAGCCACATCTAGTGTTTTGTTTTGTTCTACCAAGGCTTTCAGCTCCCGTCAGAAACAGGCCACTGCCAGGAATTGCCTGGGCATCAAGCTGTCAAGCCTAAGAGTTCGGACACCCATCTGGGGGCGCCCAGGGCGGACAGCGGGACAAACCTGCCTAGCAGCCCACTTGACACAACTGTCCTCTACGAGGAGACAACAAATCAGGAACTCAGAAACAGAAACACCAGCGGGGCCTCTTCAGAGGTCCAGAGCTGGGAAGGGGCGGGGAGGGAGAGCAAGCACAGGGCTCGGCTGGGGCGGGGCGAAGGGGAGGCGGGGACAGGGTGGACTCACAGATCCAGAAGCTGACTGACCCGCCGCGAGCTAGGCATCGCGGCCGCCCAAGAGAGCCTCTTCCGCGGTCCCAGGGCCGCCCAAACAGAGCCAGAGACCGTCCGTCAACTCCTGCCCCCCGCGCGACGCGTAGGCCCTCGTGACGTCACACGGCTTCTTCCGGTGACCGGGACGTAGCCACGCTCGGGACTACGGAGGGAAAGAAGAGAAGTGAGGTGATAAAATGTAGAGTAGCCCTAAACTCGGTGAGGCGCGACGGGAGTTGTAGTTCTTCCAACTCGCGGGCTCCGTTTACGGGCCGTTTCCCAGGAGTTGAAACCCCGCGCGCAGCCTAGCTGGGCACACCTCCAGTGGCGCTGTGCTTAGAAGCCGCTGCGCTTACTGCAGGGACGTATTTGATGCTGGTCCGTGCATTTGGCGACGCATTCCGGAGACTCCCTTGGAAATGGACTCCATTAACGTGAAACGGAGCGTTTTAGAGCAACCAGGAGTGACCGCTGTTTACCGAGCATTTTCTCTGAAGCACGTACGGAGCTACGTGCTCTCAATTAACTACATTCATTTAATCCTGTGAAGTCGAGATTATTTAGCCTTATTTTACAGATGAGGACACTACATGCCAACAAAAAAGCTCAGTAAGAATTTCATCATGGGGGGAGGGGCATCTGTTCAAATCAGAAAGGATTTTAAAGAAGGGGCACCCTTTCCCAGGTGGAATTCTTTCTCTTTGGTTATGCTGCAGAGTGCCGGCTATTTTTTAGTGTCTTTCGTTCTTCCTTGTGGATTGATTTGTTGTTTATGTGTCTGTCTTCCTTGTATAAGCTGAAAGTTGGAACCCAGTTTTGTTCATCTTTTCAGGATGCTGCTTATTCAGGCAATACACATTTATCAGGCACTGAAGGAGGGTAGAGACAGTGCTGGTGCTGAGGATTCCGTGGTGAACACATGCACCAGACCAGTAGAAGGACAATTAAATAAACTGTTAAATGCTAAGATGAAGTTAATGCTATGCGAGCACCCATGGAGGAGTAGGGGGAGCAGTTCAGAGAAAAAACTATGGTCTCTTAGGGACTGCAGACAGTTCAGGGTGGTGGCTACAATGGGGAGTGGTGAGAGTTGAATGTAGAGCAGGAGTTGGCAAACTTTTTCTATGGAGGGCCAGATAGTAAAGATTGTAGAGTTTTGTAGGCCATACTGTCTTGGTCACAGCTACTCATCTTGTAGCTCAAAAGAAGCCATAGACAGTATGAATGAGTGGAGCTGTGTTCCAATAACGTTTTCTTTTTTTTTTTTTTTAATTTTATTTATTTATTTATTTGACAGAGAGAGAGAGAGAGAGACAGCGAGAGAGGGAACACAAGCAGGGGGAGAAGCAGGCTTCCTGCCAAGCAGGGAACCCAATGCGGGGCTCGATCCCAGGACTCTGAGATCATGACCCGAGCCGAAGGCAGTCACTTAACCAACTGAGCCTCCCAGGTGCCCCCTCCAATAACGTTTTCTTATTGAAGTTTGAATTTCATGTAGTTTTCACTGTCATGAAATACTCATATTTTGGTTTTTCAACCATTTAAAACTAAAAGCTTGATGTTGCAAACTACAAAAACGAGCAGTGGGCTGGATTTGGCTGCCTGGTGGTAGGTCTCTCCTCTTCTGATCAGAAAGCTAAAATGGGGCCTAATGATCTGTGTTATGTTAAACAATTTAGGCTTTGTCTGGAGGACTTTGGGTGGAGTCATAGGTAGGTTTTAAGCAAGGACAGGGCATGCATAGGAAAAATGAGTTTTAGAAAGAACTCCAGCTGTGAAGTGTTCAAAGAACTGTAGAGGTCACAGGTGGAGACCAGATAGGAGTCCTTTGATGATAGTCTGAGCTAAAGTAGTAACAATGGAATGGATAAACAGATTCAAGAGGTAATGGAAGTTGAACTGATAGGATTTAGAGATTGGTGGGGGTAAGGGAAAGTGAAGAGTCAAGATGAATTTTAGGCTTTGGGTTTGGAGAATTGGGTGGCATATGGTGGTGCCATTTATTGAGCTGACGGGATTGCAAGAGTTTTTTGAAGAGAGGAGGAAAGTATTTAAATGTTGGACATGTGGCTTTTGAGGTATCTATGGAAAATGTAGGCATGGAGGTATAGATCTGCAAATTGTGCTGGTTTGCTTTTGAAGAAGAGATTGAATAGCAGTGATAATGCATGCATTTACTTATTGAGACAGTAATTCTTTAGAAGAATCCTCTGCTGTTCTGGGAGCCATTTAGACCTTGGAAGACCATGGGAGAGCTTGACAGAGCAGATAAGGGTAGGACTTCATAGTCCTTCCTATCCGTTGAGTGCTGCACAGCTGTCCATCTGGGTCTTCCCACTGATTACTTGATTCTTCAAGGAAAATACAGGCCATTGCCCCATTATTATGAGATGTTCAGCTTTGGGTGCCAGTATTCTTCTCAGTAGTCAAAGGAAGTCATCAGAACTGGTTTTTTTTTTTTTCTTTTAAGAAAATTATAATGAGGTAAGATGACAAAGTCCTAGTTACTTCTAGCCAATTATTTTATTTTTTAAATTTTTATTTATTTTTTTAAAAGATTTTATTCATTTATTTGACAGAGAGAGGGAGAGCACAAGCAGGCAGAAGGAGAGGGAGAAGCAGGCTTCCCGCTGAGCAGAGAGCCTGACATGGGGCTTGATCCCAGGGTCCTGGGATCATGACCTGAGTGGAAGGCAGACACTTAACCAACTGAGCCAATTATTTTAAAGGTCGAAGATGTGTACATGATATCACAATTCTTAGGAGTACTTTTTTTTTTTCTTCAAAGATTTATTTATTTTGGAGAGAGCTAGTGGGAGGGTCAGCTGTACATAGAGTGAGAACAAGTCCTAGGAGGGGTAGCTGAGAACAGCAATTGACACTGAGAAGAAACAGCCAAAGAGGTAGGGAAAAAAAAACAGTGGGGTGCTACAGAAGATAAACATGACCAAAACTGTCACATGCTGAAGAGAAATCAAGTAAGATAACACCTGAAGGTGGTTTAGCCAGAAGAAGGTCATCAAGGGTGTTTGAGGTGGTGATGGAGGATGCATTCTGATTGTGATGGCAGGAATGAATGGGAAGTAAGGAAATGAACACACAAGTAGCCCAACTCTCATTTACAATACATACTTGTTCAAATGAATTGCTGCTTCTATTAAGACACTAGGCACTGAAGAAAAGGAGATTGTGAAAGTGTATATAGCTCTACTTTATGGAAGGTAAGATGGGATAACTCAGAACTGTTATTTATGGACCTTCTAGCTGTCAAACGTGGTAAATACTTAAAGGATCTCATGTAGTCATCAATCGAGTCTGAGATATGCTATCTTATAGATGAAGGTGAGGTTTACCTAAATAGGTGTGTCAGATTCCAAAGACCATGCTGTTTCTACTTTATTTGGGTGTTCAGGAGAGAGGTTTATGGTACATCTAAGATCATCAATATAACTTGCAAAGCCCCTTTTCAAAAAGTTACTAGATTGTTCAAGATGGTGATAGCAGAGCATTAAACCAAGGCAGGACCCTGTACAACGGCACCAGTGGTCCACCCATGAAGCTGGCCTTGGTGTATGCAGGACTTCCCAAGAAAATCAGTTTCAGCTAGTGACTATTCGGTAACTGTCAAAATAAAATTCAGAGACAAATGTGAACACCGGGAAACTTTTTAAAAAAAATCCAAGTACAGTTGACATATGATATATTAGTTTCAGGTGTACAACATGGTGATTCGACAGTTATATATATTATGAAATGCTCATCATGATAAAGTATAGTTACCATACCAAGTGATTATATTATCGACTATATTCTCTATGCAGTATTTTTCATCCCTGTGGCTTCTTTTGTAACTGCAGGTTTGTACCTCTTCATCCTCTTTACCTATTTTGCGTTTTAGGAAAACATTTTCACTAGCAGTTCAGAAGTAGTGGCTCATCCCATAGAAGAGGAGGCATTTATAGCTCTGATGATATGGCAGATATTTATAGCTCAGATATGGCAGCTGACAGTTCAGATTGGGTAAGAACAAGATGTTCCTGTCTTTTTGTAAGGAAAACAGGATGTTCTTATTTTTGTGGCTTATCTCAAGAGGCAAAGCTTTCAGGATTTCCTGTTAGTCAATGCTTTTAGGAGTTTCCTGTTATTCATGGTTTATCTTGGAATGCAAGGTTATTAGGAATAAAAGTCTTTTCTGGTGCATGGTAAGTGATTTGTGGACAGTGCCAGGCTGAGGGCAAGATGTCATGTTCCCATTCTCCCCTCTTTGCTTGCTGTGCCCACTTTATTGTAGTTTCCTCTAGCTCGGAACCTCCTCTATTTCCTATCCTAGCTACCATATAAAAAAAACTTATAGTTTGTTTCTCTGGGCCGGTTATATAAGAATAATAAGCAACATTACTTACCTTAAATCATGCTATTTAGTCCTAGTGTGTTTGTGTATGTGTAGAAAAATACATAATAAATGTCTACAGGTAAAATGATGAAGTATATCTTATGCGGTATATGTATACGTATGTATATATATACACACACACATAATTGACCCTTGGACAAAATGGGTTTGAACTGCGCAGGTCTACTTATACGGGTTTTTTTTTAGTACATTACTGCAAATGTATTTCCTCTTATGATTTTCTTTCTTTCTTTCTTTCTTTTTTAAAGATTTTATTTATTTATTTGGCAGAGAGAGAGAGAGAGACAGCGAGAGAGGGAACACAAGCATGGGGAGTGGAAGAGGGAGAAGCAGGCTTCCTGCCAAGCAGGGAGCCCGATGCAGGGCTAGATCCCAGGACCCTGGGATCATGACCTGAGCTGAAGGCAGTCGCTTAACCAACTGAGCCACCCAGGCGCCCCATCTCTTATGATTTTCTTAATATTTTCTTCTCTCTAGCTTACTTTATTGTAAGAAAATAGTATAAAATATATATAACATACAAAATATGTGTTGACTTTATGTTTTGGTAAGGCTTCCTTAACAGTAGACTATTAATAATTAAGTTTTGGAGGAGTCAAAAGTTATATGTGGATTTTCAACTGTGTAGGGGTTTGGGGCCCCTAGGTCAACTATGTGTGTGTGTGTGTAATGAATCTTGGGTCATTTATTAAGAATGTGTGTACATACAAGTAGATAGCAATAAATTGTTGTTCAAATCATCTTTACATGTCATGTCTCAAAATA